GAGACCAGAGAGAGACCAGAGAGAGACCGGAGAGAGGCCAAGAGGAGAGGCCAGAGAGAGACCAGAGAGAGACCAAGAGAGACCAGAAGAGACAGAGAGAGAGCCAGAGAGACCGAGAGAGACCAGAGAGATGCCAAGAGAGCGACCAGAGAACAACCAGAGAGTACATCAGAGAGAGAGCCCAGAGAGACCAGAGAGAGACCAGAGAGAGACCAGAGAGACCAGAGAGAGAGAACCAGAAGACACCAGAGAGACACCAGAGAGCAGAGACCAGAGAGAGAGACCGGAGAGAGACCAGCGAGAGACCAGAGAGAGACCCTGAGAGAGAACCAGAGAGAGAGACAGAGTGAGAACCAAGAGAGACCATAGAGAGAGACCAGAGAGAACCAGAGAGATACCAGAGAGAGACCAAAAGAGACCAGAGAGAGACCAGAGAGAGACCAAGAGAGACCACTGAGTCTGATTCGATTTTCTATTCCAGTGTCGACGACATCACAACTTGGTAAAGTCCTTTGACGAAGGCTAAAAACATAGAAAGAATTGTGTGATGAAAAACAGGTAAACATTATTTATTAGAAACTTAAAGTCTGCTGAACCTATAGTTTTGTTTCGAGACTGAACTGTTGTTTGTCGCGATAGAAAAAGTGTGAGAAATGGTGTTTTCTATTAGTGGATAAATCCGACGTATCTCCCCCAGGTCATTGTGCTGACGGATCCAATCCGTCCCCTGTGAGTCACTATTTGACCCTTTGGCTCAGACATAGAAATAAGTATTAGATTTTTACAGGAGCTTTGAAAATAGAGACCCAGCTTTAAGATCTCGAACAAATGTTAATGCTATAATAACCACGTGGAACTCTGAGGAGCACAGGGACTGGCCTCTGCTGTGACGCTGAGGAGCACAGGGACTGGCCTCCTGCAGGGACTCTTGAGAGCACAGGGACTGGCCTCCTGCTGGGACTCTGAGGAGCACAGGACTGGCCTCCTGCTAAGACTGAGGAGCACAGGGACTGGCCCTCCTGCTGGGACTGAGGAGCACAGGGACAGGGCCTCCTGCTACGACTCTGAGGAGCACAGGGACCTGGGCCTCCTGCTAAGACTCGAGGAGCACAGGGACTGGGCCTCCTGCCTGGGACTCTGAGGAGCACAGGGACTGCCTCCTGCTAAACTGAGGAGCACAGGGACTAGGCCTCCTGCTGGAACACTGATGTGCACAGGGACTGGCCTCCCTGCTGGAACTCGAGGAGCACAGGACGGGTCCTCCTGCTGGGACTGAGGAGCACAGGGACTGTCCTCCTGCTGGGACTCTGAGGAGCACAGGGACTGGGCCTCCTGCTAAGACCTGAGGAGCACCGGATGGCCTGCCTGCCTGGGACTCTGAGGAGCAAGGGACTGGGCCTCCTGCTGGGACTGAGGAGCACAGGGACTGGCCTCCTGCTGGGACTCTGAGGAGCACAGGGACTGGCCTCCTGCTGGGACTGAGGAGCACAGGGACTGGTCCTCCTGCTGGGACTGAGGAGCACAGGGACAGGTCCTCCTGCTGGGACTCCTGAGGAAGGCCACAGGGACTGAGCCTCCTGCTCGGGAAAGGACTGAGGAGCACAGGGACGGCCCCTGCGGGACTCTGAGGAGCACAGGACTGGCCTCCTGCTGACTCTGAGGACACAGGGACTGGCCTCCAGCTGGACTCTGAGGAGCACAGGGACTGGTCTCCGCTGGTCCCAGAGTCAGGACTAAACATGGGGGAGGCTGTGTTTTCAGATTTTATGCAGGCTAAAAACAGTCTTCCAGAATACGTGTAACGGGCAATATTCTAATCCAGTTTAAAAACAGGATTTAATCCTGACTTTCGATTTAAAGCCTTGTCCCTTGGTGATTCCGTGTGTGGACTGTGCAATACCAATAACCTTGCCTACTGCTAAAGGGTTTATGAACTTATGACATCTGTGGGACTTTTCCGGCGTGGCCTCGCACCAGCATTTTTTGTGGGTACAATTTGAGTAAACTTCTGAACCATCAAAACGACAGAATAAAAATAACATATGGTACAGAGGTAGAATAACGGATACAGGGTAGAAAAATAAAAGAATAGCAGAATACAGACAGGTAACAGAACCCATGAACAGAACCATGAACAGAACCATGAACAGAACCATAACACGCTCGAGCAGAGGAGTCCTTCTGTGTCCGTCCCTAAAAACAACAAAAGTTCACAACCTGGTCTCCCCTGTCCTTCCCCTGAACCCCCCTGGTCCTCTCCCCTGGTCTCACACCGGTCTCTCACCAAGTGGTCCTCTCCCCTGTCTCATCCCCATGGTCTAAACCATTCAATCCAAACGGGGAGGAAAACAAAAAGATGCAACTGTGATTTCCGTGGACAACTAAATTGGCGTCTGGTGCCCGAGAAGCATTCACGTCCCCTAGTACAACAAACCTGCTTTCTTCTTCTACAAGCACCACTTTCTCAGGACGGACGCAGCCAATCAGAGGAAGCAGTCACGTCCAGACACCTGGAGCACGCCGTCCATGTGGATGGAACTCTTTGGGCCAGATTGTGAACTTTGTTGTTTTTTAGGACGGACACAGAATGACTCCTCTGCTCTGAGCGTGTTCATGGTTCTTTCATGTTCTGTTCATGGTTCTGTTCATGGTTCTGTTCACACTGTATGTATTCTGTATTCTTTTATTTTTACACCTACCGTATCTACATGTACATAGTTTATATTTTATTCTGTCGTTTGATTGGTTCAGAAGTGTACCTCAAATTGTACCACAAAAAATGCTGGTGCGAGGCCACGCGGAAAAGTCAATGATGACATATGTTCGTAACCCTTTAGCATTAGGCACAGGTATTGGGTATAGCACAGTCCACACACAACGCAACGGCAACTGCACAAGACAAGGCTTTAAATCAGAAAGTCAGGATTAAATCTGTTTTTACCTGGATTTGAATATGCCCGTCACACGTTTTTGGAAGACTGTTTTTAGCTTGCATAAAATCTGAAACACTGCTCCCCATGTTTAGTCGCTGAACTCGGGACCAGCAGGGAGACCAGTCCCTGTGCTCCTCAAGTTCCCAGGCAGAGGGCCCAAAAAGTTTTTTCCCCCCTTGCTCACTCAATCCAGCAGGAGGCCAGTCCCTGTGCTCCTGCAGAGTTCCCAGCAGAGGCCAGTCCCTGTGCTCCTCAGAGTCCCACAGGAGGGCAGACTCCCTGTGCTCCTCAGAGTCCCCAGCAGGAGACCAGATACCCTGTGCTCCCTCAGTCCCAGCAGGAGACCAGTCCCTGGTGCTCCTCAAGTCCCAGCCGGAGGCACAGACCCCAGTGCCCTCAGAGTCCCAGCAGGAGGCCAGTCCTGTGCTCCTCAGTCCCCAGCAGGAGCCAGTCCCTGTGGCTCCTCAGAGTCCCCTACAGAGGCCATCCCTGGTGCTCCTCAGAGTCTTAGCAGGAGGCCAGACCCTGTGCTCCCAAGTCCCATCATTAGACCAGTCCCTGTGCTCCTCAGTCCCAGCAGGAGACCAGTCCTGTGCTCCTCATCCCCCAGCAGGAGGCCAGTGCCAAAACTCTCACTAGCTCATTTGTGCTTTTTTGAGGAGCATTATAGTCTTGTTGTGGGTGTGGCCCCCTTATTTGTCCACGTTCAATGTTTACTTTGTAAGAAGCAGACTCCTGCTTTACTGAAAAGTAGTCTTCATCATAAACTTTCAATTTGGCCTTTGCTGCATTAAGCTTTTTTAGACTCTCCAAGCGTTCAATTTCTCTTTCCAAATCCAGAACTGATTTCTTCCTCATAGCGCTTTCTTCTTGCTGTTTCTTTACTACAGCTGCTCTGTCTTGTTGTCGCTTTATCCTGCGTTCGGTTTCTTCCCTTTCCTCTAGGAACTGCTGTGACAATGCAATTGCTTCTTGTTCTGCACTTATGCGCTTGTCCTCTTTTTCTAATTCTTCAATGGTTTCTCTGTGTCTCTCTTGTTCAGTCATTATCTTTAGTACTGCCTTTGTAGATTCATACTCTGCAGCAGCCTCCTGTATTTTTACAGAGGATGCATTGGAGATGATTGTATGTGCCTTGGGGTGACTTTTTAGGAGTGACACACTTGAGGCAGAAGAGGATGCAAATATTGAGCTGACATCAGGCCATTTAATCTCTTCTTCTTTTGCTCCTTGAATCTGAGATGTGGTATTTTGCAGAACTATCTTAGTTACTGATGTGCACTTGTCCAATCTAGAGCGAATGTCATGAGGTGGCCGATCAATGGAGCGATATTCCTCATAAACTGAATTCAGCTCGTCCAGGTCTTTCTGAATGATATTAATATGTCCTTGCAGTATATCATTTGGATCTTTCTTAAGTACAGATTTTTTAGCCACTTTACTCATTGCTTTCCATCTGTCATAAATACAGTTAAATCGAAGTAGTAATCCCTGCAACTTGTCTTTGTGGAAATCCTTTCCCTTCTCTGACAATGTGCGAGGCCTTTCACTTCTACGAGGCTCACACTGATCCATTTGCTCTAAATCCTCTTCCACATCTGGATCTTCATGAACAGATTCTTTCCTTGCAGGTTCACTTAATTCAAACATGTTTTCTTCTTGTTGTAACATTATGAACTTGTTACTTATTTATTTTTAATCTTTTTAACTTGTCAACTTGACTTGAGTAATGAATTTGACTTATTTATTCATCACAGCTTGAACTTATTACCTTGCAGTTGTTATTTGGCTTAACACAGTTCCTTGTAGTCTCTTCTTCCTTTTGTCACTTTCCAAACATAAACTTCAATGTCTGGCCTTTTGGACGTCTTTACGAAGAAGGACTGATGAACACGTGTACCCATTAACATTGCATTACTTTGGTCTTGTTGCGATGACACGATGTCTCCACCAGGAGGCAGAGAGCATGGAGGTCCGAGTTCGACTATCACACCACCTCTGTATATAGTCAATTAAGAGTTCTTTTACTGATGGCTCTCTTCTTTATTATAGCTTGTACACGATATTTCAAGGGTAACATGAAACATGTAGCACAACGACGCCACCGTCGAACTAAAATAGGCAACATAAAATACAATTAGTAAAAACAAAACACTCAAATAATGCACTTAAGCATATTAAACACATATATACACATACCTCGCTGGATGACCCATACTTCAGAGGCAGAGTTATGACCTTGTCATCGCTCTTATAACACAAATCACATTTGCTCTTAGCAGCGAACTTTTACCACACACGTCACTTGACATGTGGACTTGCGTAACTCAATTAGCGTCACCGAAAACAGGTAACGAAACAAAGGTTCCTACCCAAGGATTTTCAAAATAAAGCAATACATTTACAAATAATTCTAAAATACACAAATCAAAAGTATGGCAGTAAAACGTAGTGTATGTGATCGTGTGGTCTATAAAGAAATAAACAGAAGTTTGAGTAAATGCACTGAGCTAATGCACAAATAATAGTCTGAGCTAATCTATGAATTGCTTATAACAGGGAAATTGTGAATAATAGTGTATTTGTGCCATAAGGGCTTACTGAGCTGAAAACCAAATAATATAATATATATATAATGGAAGCACGTGGCGCAACACGTCTCTGTGAAAAATATTAGCACACGAGCTAACTGTCTTAGGTACAAAACTCGAACTGTAATAAACATACTAACACAATATACATCTAAACATTCCTAACATAATGGCAAATGGCTCATGTAGTGTCCACGCCACTCTAATTAGCATGAACTTACTTTTTGTCAATAACGCACAACTCGGAGCTGCCGATAGATGCTGCACGCCAGAGCCTCGTGCTTAACTAAAGAAACAAATACGGCGTGCTCTAACTACAGAGGGTGCGCTTACATTATAATGCCAATAGTGGGCGCTATACCCTAACTTAACATTCTCTTAACAGTCTTTCTAACATAGCCGCCCCCCAATTTGCAAGGCAAATTGGAATCAAAACACAAGACTAATCTGGAGACGGTAGTCCATCATCGTCCTTCACCTGTGGGAGAACAATGAGTCTTACTACGGGTCGAACATAGCTCTTGCCATCAATCTTCACTTCCACTGTTCTGATGAGGCCGTCGGGTCCGGGCATGACTTTTGTCACTTCTCCGATTCTCCACTGACCACGCGGAACCTGAGGGTCTGCAAGAAGGACTACGGCTCCTTTCTGGATGTTGTCTGCTGGAGTCCTCCACTTGCTTCTGGTCTGTAGGTTGGGCAGGTAGTTCCGGATAAACGCTGACCAGAAATGATCTGCCAGGACTTGAGATTGTCTCCAGCTCCGTCGTCCTCGCATTTCACCATCAGGGTAGACTACTTGTGGCAGGGAACTATCAGGCCGCCCCATCAGGAGGTAGTTTGGCGTCACGGGGTCAGGGTCGGATATGTCGGACGAGACATAACCGAGTGGCTTTGCATTCAGAATGCCTTCGATCTCCACTAGGACCGTTGTGAGTACTTCTTCTTTGACGCTCTGTGGCGCAATGGTTGTGTACAAGGCTGTCTTAATGGAGCGTATTTCTCTTTCCCACGCACCACCGAAGTGTGGCGCTGCAGGTGGGTTAAGTTTGAAACGGATCTGCTGTTTGGAAAGCTGTTCTTGAAGGGCAGGAGACATTTGGGTGAAAGCTTCTCTTAGTTCTCTGTCCCCTCCTTTAAAGTTTGTACCCTGGTCCGAGTACACTTCTGCTGGCTTCCCTCGCCGAGCGATAAATCTCCTGAAGGCCATCAAGAAGGAGTCGGTATCTATTGATGACAGGAGATCTACATGAACGGCCCTTGTGGTGAGGCACTTAAATAGTATACCCCATCGTTTCTCTTGCCGCCGTCCCAGTTTGACCAGGAAAGGCCCAAAGCAATCCATGCCGGTGGAATAAAAGGCGGGTTTAAACAGCCGGAGTCGGGCTACAGGGAGGTCGGCCATCTGTTGAGAAGCAGCTTTAGCTTTCCATCTCCTACACTCAAGACAACCATGTTGGTGGCGTCTGACTGCCTCTCGTCCTCGCAGGATCCACACTGAACGGCGAAGCTCTGCGAATACTCGTTCAGGCCCTGGGTGACAGAGGCGGGCATCAAAGTCTTTAATTAGCAGCCTTGTGTAGGGATGGCTGGGGTCAAGGACAATGGGATGGGCCACAGACGTCTCAATGTTCTCAGCTTGACGTAATCTGCCACCCACTCGGATCAGGTCCATTTCTTTGTCGTACTGTGGGGCAAGACATGAGCGGCGACTGTTAGTGGCAATTGGTTTACCATTCTTCAGCAGGTTGTATTCATCTGTGAAGCTCTCTCTTTGTATTGACTGGAAGATCTGGTGCTCTGCCGTCTTATACATTTCGGCAGAAGGAATGGCTGAGAGTGTAGGATCTTGTTGCCCGGCCGCCCCGTGAAGCTCCTTCACCTTGGTTTCTATTAGCTCTGACCAGGTGGTGGCAATGGAATGGTTCGAGCCGGGTGGATCCAAGCTTGTGACAGCCATTGTGCATATGACTGATCTCTTTAGCTCTGACATGTCTTGAGGGGGTTCTGCCGCGGTGATGGAAGGATTCGAAGGTCAGTTATCTGCAGGTAGTGTGAGGAAATCTGGCCCCTGGCTCCAACGGTTTGGCTGTACTAGCTCTGGCAGTGTCTTCCCTCTTGTCAGATCGTCGGCAGGATTATTGGGAGAGTCCACATATCTCCAAGTGCTCTGCTCTGTCAGGTCTTGGATTTCTGCGATTCTGGTCCCAACAAAAACCTTGAAGTGACAGGAGGTAGAGTTGAGCCATCTTAGAACTGTGGTAGAGTCGGACCAAAGTGTGTAGCTCTGAATCTTAAGGGTCAACTCATTTTGCAGGAGCTTATGCAGCTGAGCTCCTGTGAGAGCAGCGCACAACTCTAATCTTGGGATAGAGAGCTGCTTTTTGGGGGCGACACGGGATCTGCCAATAAGGAAGGACAAGTGTACATTACCCTCCTGATCTTCTGTGCGGAGGTATGCCACCGAACCATATGCGCGCTCTGACGCGTCGCAAAATATATGCACTTCTCGCGTCACGTCAGGGCTCTCCATACCTGGGGCAGTGTAGCATCTGGGCAAAGTGATCTCTGGTAGTCTCTCCAGCTCCTTCTCCCAAGTTAGCCACTGCTGTAACAGCTCCTCTGGGAGTTGGGTGTCATCCCAGTCTCTGTGCTTAGCCCACAGTTGCTGAACAATGACCTTGGCTCTGGTTGTGAAGGGCAGGATATATCCCAGAGGGTCATACTGGCTTGCTAAGGTGCGATAGATGTTTCGCATGGTTGGCGCACCGAATGTTTTTTTGGATCGATGCTTGAATCCGAGAGTGTCTATATCACACCGCCAGCTCAATCCAAGAGTGGATTCCTGTGCCTCTGCTTTGTCGTGTGAAAGCCAGAGGTCTAGCTTGTCAGACCGAGCTTCTGGTGGGAGGTGGCAGATAACTTCCGGCTTGTTACTTGACCACTGGCGGATGTCGAAACCCCCGTGGGTCAGGAGAGCTCTGAGTTTGTCGACCAGCTGTCGTGCCTCTTCCACAGTGGTAACACTCTGCAGGCAATTATCCACATAGAAACACCGCTCTACTGTGAACCTCACATCTTCTTCTGGCTGGCTATTCTGGAGCACATGCTGCTGGAGGGCAAAGGTTGCACAGCAGGGACTGCAAGTGGTCCCAAAGGGGAGGACCTGCCACTCATAAATGTCTGGAGGCTTATCTCGGTCACTGCGCCAGATAAACCGCATAAGGGGTTTGTCCTCGGGTAGCAAGCACACCTGATGGAACATTCCTTTGATGTCCCCACTGATGGCTATGCTGTGTTCTCTGAAGCGCAAAAGCACTCCAACCAGGGACGGGCTCAGTGTTGGTCCAGGTAATAACCACTCGTTCACGTTGAGCCCTTTGTAGTAGAATGAGCAGTTAAACACAATTCGGTTTTTACCGTTGTGGTGGACCATGTGATGAGGTATGAACCAGCTCTCACTGCACTTGTTCTGGTCCTCTGGTCTGAGTCTGGCAACGACCCCTGTGGCCTCGAGCTTCTCCATCTCAATACGATAAGCAGCCGCCTTGTCAGGGTCTCGCACCAGGCGTCTCTCCATGCTCTTGAGACTTGGCAGCACAGCTTCTTGGGTAGCCTGGAAAAGAGGTGAGTCTTTCTTTCTCAAAAGAGGTGTGGCATACCTTAGAGTCCCGTTCACATTTACCCTCTCTGTCTTGTTGTGGAGAAGGTGTAACGCCTCTTTGTCTTCTCGGGATCTAGTGACTTCTTTCTCGTTTCTGAAAGGAAAAATATCAACTTGCCATAGCTTTTCCACATTCCTCTTCAGTTCAACGGCTTCAGGGCTGAGTGACGTGAAGAGGCACTGCTGTGGATGTAACTGTGACTCGACTGTTCTGGCTGGTCCTTGTAATGTCCAACCAAGGCGAGTGTGGATGGCAGCTGGACCACCCGGAGGGCCAAGACGCACACGCTCTATGGGAGACAAAAGGTGTGGATGGTCTGCACCAATTAACAACAATGGTGAGACGCGACTGAATGCATGCAAGGGCAGGTTTACAAGATGCTTATATTTCTTCTGGAGGGTAGCAATGGGATAGGAATGTTCTGCTAGACCCAGGCGCTGAGCTGTGAATGCATTCGTAATCTTGTAGACTTTCTTTGGCTGATAGGGAGAAGAAATCTCGAAGGACACTGAAGCACCATGCACGATCTGGGTGTCCTGTCTTATTGTTCTGAGGGATATGTCTTCGGGAGTACCTGTGACCTCCAGTTGTTGTGCTGCAGCGGTCAAAAGCATAGTACGGTCTGACCCGTCGTCTAGAACAGCGTACGTGTCTAATGTCTTGTCCCCGTGCCGCAGGAGTACTCTGATTACTTTGAGGAGGACACGGGCTGGGTCGGAAGGCTTATCCAGAAGCAGCGTTTCAGTAGCTGAGCTGACGAAGCAGTTACCGTCTTTTGGTTCTCTACTATTGACCTCATGTAATATGAGTAGGTGTTTACCCTGACATTTACTGCATGGCTTCTTTAAGTTGCACTGTGCAGCTTGGTGTGATCTGCCACAGCGCCAACAGCGTCTATTAGTTTTGATCCAGTCAATCATCTGAACCTTATCGAAGCATTTGAAGGTGGCGCACTGACTTAGAAAGTGGTCTTCGGTGTCGCAGTAGGGGCAATAAGCTTTAGGATTCTTGCCTTTCTTATTTGCTGGTGAACTACTAACACTTTCATCTTTGGGAGTGAGATCCTCTGCTCCGTGAAGGATATTAGTGGAGCGAGGAAACTGCCTCGACTCACGATGACGGTCTGGCTTTGAGGGAGCTTTCTCTTTCACTCCATAACTCCCCTTGTGTCCATCACTGGTTTGGCACCATGTTTCTAACTGCAGCCACGCTGAAAACTCTATCATATCATAAACTGCAGTGGCGTTGCGGCACATGTATCTTTTGAACTCTGACCTCATCTCAGTGGGAAGTTTACTGAGGAGGCGTGCAACATGGGACCCACAACGGAGCTCTATCTCTCCCTCCTGGCCCAGGGTCTGTAGCATGCCCACAAGTGCTCTTATCTGCAGGGCAAACCTCTCAAAGCCTTCTGTGTCCCCTCTTCTGATGTCTGGGGAGTCCATAACATGAGCTATTTTCTGTAGGGCCAGTTGGTGAGGTTGGCCAAACTTCTCTGTAAGAGCAGCCATAGTGTCTGTATATGGAGCAGGAGAGTTAAGATAGGCATCCGCTATTAAACGAGCGTCTTCCAACTTTAAATGATCCATCAGAATTTGGAACTTGAATAGCTCTGTGCTATCTTGAGGGAGCAAATTATTTAGAGCTATTTTCAGGCGGGAGAATTCACCTGGATCTCTTCTGGTGAAGTTTGGGATAGATGGAGTAGGCCCTTTATAGGTTCTCTCTTGGGTCCTAAATGACTGCACAGGTTGGAAGGCTGGGTCTCTATTTTGTGGGGAAAAGGCGCCCCCTGGTGGCTGATAATACCTCTGTGTATTATAGTCATATGAGGGTGGTACTCTGGACTGTGGCTGTGGAGGACCATAATAAGGTGTATTAGTCACTTCTCTGGGGAGAGTAGATGGATGTGGGGTTACTACTGCCTGTTCCTTTAAGAGTGTAAGTTCTGCCATCAGATTATCCAGTCTATCAATCATGGAGGTCTGTCTGACAGTGGGGTCTGGAGGAGGATCGATCTGAGGGGCCCAGTCTTCACTTTGAACATGGTTATAATTCTGTGCAGTATCACGTTGACGAAGTCGCTGTCTCGGTGGGATAGGAGGTGGGAGCTCTCTTGGCTGGCTTGGGAATGAAACAGGAGGCTGATTCCGGCGTGATGACTGAGGAAAAGGTTCTCTTGGTCTTTGATATGGGGATGAGTAACGAAGCGCACTCGTGGCCCGTGTAGGGTGCCCTAGATTCATGTCCTCAACCACGGAGGATGTCCACTCATCAACAGTGTAGTGCCACTGATCTTGACTCGCTGGACTGGAGGAACGTGATGACACAGGTGAGTAAAGGTTCTCTTCTGGAGCGCGCACTGGGCACTGTACAGCGTCTCTGATAGGCTGATCTGTATTAGTGCGCCGAGCTCCGGTGTAACTCACATCGTAGTCATGGAGATAGGGAGGAGGTTGCATATTCCGCTTGGGGCGAGTAGAATCATCGGCTCTGACATTAGACTGCATCCTGATGTCCATAGAAGATATCAAATCCGGCGAAAGGAGGACCAAATGTTAGAGAGTACTATCTCAGGACTAAAGGACTGTATAGGTGTAGGTCTGATATCCACTCTGGAGTGTCGGTCAGGACACAGGAGACAGGATGCGGATGTCACTTTAGCTGTCTTTATTGAAGCTCAATCAGCAGCATAGGAACCATACGTAGTGTATGTGATCGTGTGGTCTATAAAGAAATAAACAGAAGTTTGAGTAAATGCACTGAGCTAATGCACAAATAATAGTCTGAGCTAATCTATGAATTGCTTATAACAGGGAAATTGTGAATAATAGTGTATTTGTGCCATAAGGGCTTACTGAGCTGAAAACCAAATAATATAATATATATAATGGAAGCACGTGGCGCAACACGTCTCTGTGAAAAATATTAGCACACGAGCTAACTGTCTTATTAGGTACAAAACTCGAACTGTAATAAACATACTAACACAATATACATCTAAACATTCCTAACATAATGGCAAATGGCTCATGTAGTGTCCACGCCACTCTAATTAGCATGAACTTACTTTTTGTCAATAACGCACAACTCGGAGCTGCCGATAGATGCTGCACGCCAGAGCCTCGTGCTTAACTAAAGAAACAAATACGGCGTGCTCTAACTACAGAGGGTGCGCTTACATTATAATGCCAATAGTGGGCGCTATACCCTAACTTAACATTCTCTTAACAGTCTTTCTAACACCATGGATGTGGGATTCGGCATACACTCGACATGTGGCACGGGTCAAAAAATCTTGGGAAAAAGATCGTCCAGGTAATGCATATTGTACATTTTAGCATCTTTGTGTGGTAATATTGCATTTACTTATGTTTATGTGTGTAGGCAAGTCAAAAGAAGAGCTGCAAAAGTCTTGTAACCTGGACAAAAGACATTTGCAATCATTTTTGGTTTTGTGCTAAGACTGCATCAACCTTCAATGATTTTTTTGTGAGTATTTATTTCTCTTATGATTAGGTTCACTAAAAATCTATTTTGCATGTAATATGATTGTTGTGTTTTCCTGTAGGACATGTGGAGCGGTGTTCTCCACCATGTTACAGGAGAACATGAATGGACGCTAGGGGCGTGTTATCATGGTCCTCTGTCAGACGACAGGGACAAGACTCTGATAGTCAAAGGATCAGAGGCACATGAGGCCCTCTCTGGGATTGTCTTGAATGAACGCTGGCTGAGAGATGTGGAGAAGTTCCTGACTTTTAGGTGTGTATATGCATCTTATATTATCGGTATTTTGCACTTCGGTGGTTGAAATGAATGAAGTTATGACCTGCTGATTTTTAGCAGTTCAAACATAAGAATTGCTCTACATTGGGATGGTTTCGAAATAGAGCTGTATTGAATCTCTCATTATTCACAACTGACTTGACCTTCAAAGCATCAAACATATGCTATTCCTTTCATATAGTCATACATAATATTCATCTTTCACATAATATAACACTTCTTAGACTAAAATAAAACAATCAAGCATAACTTCCACAATGACAGTTGGAATTGTATGAACTATTTGCTTCCATTATATAATGTTTTTTCACCCCCATAATATACTTTCTATATAGATGCACCTCTGAGTTGGAGTCATTCCACAATCATATCCTCATGTACGCGGGTAAAAGATTTGGCTTTTCACACAAAGTGTATGAAGCACGAACTTTTCTGGCTGGTTTGGACTACAATCACCATGTGCACCGACCTGTCAGAAGAAATGCTGATGGTGAAGTGGAGTAAGTATACTCCTTATGTTGTTTAAAATTTAAAAAACATAATATAACATTAATATTAGTACTTCATTTTCGGTGTGGCCTTAGGTATAAGAGGTTATTCAACAAGAAGTCACGTCAGTGGAGACTTTACGCTCTTAGAGTTGAGAAGGACTATGCATACATTGAACTCCAGAGGGCCATCCTTCAGTGCAGGATATCTTCTGGGAAAGGCATGCCAAAAAAGATGCCACAAAGGCATGACGACCCTCTACTGGCATATGGACTTCTCCCTGCAGTTCCACGTCCACCGAAAGAGGAACTCTTGCAGACCCAAGTCAGCAGAGGAATAGGTATAACACTTCATTGATATAGAAAAAGCACAAACTGCCCTATTATTTGACTTAAAATGTATGATTTCAGTGGGTATAGTTTTAAATTTATTTATAACTATATTGTAACTCTGAATTTTGTTATACAAGAAAGTAATTGATCCTTTTCCTTTGTTTGTTTCCCAGGGAAAGAAGTCCAAAAGTGACAACCTTATGTGCTTCTTTGCTGATATGGGCACCTTGTATATTTTCATGTACAACTTTACAATAAAAGTACATTTCATAGATAATTTTATATTTCACGTATATTCTAGGACCATATTCACCTTGTGTAAGTATAGTCTGAACCTCTTCCTTTTTCTATACAAATCTATTTCATTTGTCATTTCAACCAGAAGTACATGCAAGGAATCCAAAACCTTTCTTGTTCTCTTAACCTTTATTGGAAAAACACTGCAGAAAAACATATGCACACAAAACCTCAATTCAAACACAAAGAAACATTAGAGTCTGCGTGGAATATATCCTACGTACTGCTGGAACGGATCTGGAAATTTGTCTCTGATTCTCCACACACAGCAACTCGGAATGACTATTCTTTTTCCTCGTCCTAATCCTCCATATTGCCAAACAACAAATTGGCGGTACGCTGCAAACCGTGATTGTCGGTTGTTCTCTCCACGCTCTGGCTGGTCTTCATGAGCCCGGACGTCATTCCAAATTCTCCGTGCTAAACGAATAACACCCGCATCCAGTACGTACAGCTCCATTTGTGGTAGTTGGGAAATGCAGCCTGTTGCATCTTTCCCACAACATTTGTTTTCAATGTCTCTGGGCATCTCTCTACATCTCCCACAAACACACCATTCTGGTTCATTTGGAGCAGGAGGGGCAGCAGGACAATTTTCAGTCAGAACATCAAATACTAAGCCAGGTTCTATTTGAAGGAACCTTATCAAATATTCCTGGCACTGTCGAAGATCGAGAGAACGCACAATGCTCTGGAAATACAAATATTCATTTTTAAATTTATGAAGGTATGTCTGTAGTATTCAGTAAAATTGGCACGTTAATTTTGAATACTAGTTCAGCACTGTTGCTGAACTGTATTTGAGGGAACATATAATAGATTCTTTGTGATATTAAATCTGTTATACTCTAGGTGCATGTGTAATGTGATTATTAGCATTCATAATGGTGGGAAATAAGTTCATTACAGGCAACAGGCAAAGCCTACGTTTTTAATAATGTACTGTTTACATATAATATATGTGAATGTGTAATTCATCATACATTGCATTTACACGTGCACATAATGGTAATAAATATTACAGTAATGAGAATATAGGACCCTTGGATAAAGTAACAAAGTTCAAAGTATTGTCCCAACCCTGCTCCTCTATGTAGGCTTACCTCTTGATGCTGGTTCCGATTGCGCTGCAGTTCACGAACTCTGTCTAGGTCATCAGCACCAACCAAAGTATCATGGGCATCAAACACTTGCTGTTGTTCTTCCTCTAGCTCAACCTCGGGAGCAGCATCTCTGTCACGGCCACGTCCCGAACCGCGACCTCGACTTCTTGCTCTGCCTCTGGGAGCTTTACCGCGACTGCGTCCCTGACCCTATGCCGTGTTTCAAACACATATATTTACAGCGTGATCTTATCAAACATGACTTTAGCAATTAGCGCACACAATTTATAGCAAACAATTATACGAAACTTTTGACATCACAAGACCACTTACGACCACTGTTTGTGAATTAGCATGTAGTGCCATTTTGTAATGTTTACTTCAAACATAGCATCCATACGTGTATCTTGCTACGGTTACAATGCTACGGTAAACCTGTCATGCTATTATCATTCAATAACGATAAGTACTTACACTGTTATGCTTTAAAATATATAGATAAATTACCTTAGACTGAGACATTTTATCCTCACAAGATTCTTCAAGAGGCCTCAGGGCTGAATTTCCTCCGAACTATAATGCACGCGTATGAGATGCGCATGCACTTTCGTGCACGTCAAGTGGGAGGAGAGCGGAGGGGAGAGAGGACTGCTTCTCAAAATGAGAAGCCTATGAAGGAGTTGGGGGGCGGTGCTAAACATTCAAACTGAGAAAATGTAGACAAATCGGGTATAGCTCCTTTAAGGGACATCTTTACTATCTGTGTGAGTGAAGGTAACAGACTGCTCAGAACAGACTTTAGAAATCTAGTGGGTAGTACATCCAGGCTGCATGTGGAGGAGCTCAAACTGGAGATTATCTCTTGGACAGTTTGATCATTTACAGGTGCAAAGTAAGTTAGCTCAAAGAGCCTTTCTGGCTGTTGGATTGTTATCTGTGGATTGGAGACAATGGCGTTTTTGATGCCTTGAACCTTGTCATTGAAAAAATGTGCAAACTCATTACATTTACGTTTGGAAGTTAGCTCTAATGGCATTTGAACAGGGGGGTTTGTTAATCTATTAACTGTTGAAAACAGAACACGCAGATTGTTGCGTTGATTTTGGGAAAAGAAATGACGTCATAACTTACATTTCCAGTCTGTCCATTCATCCCATTTTCACTCATTGGAAGAGTCTGGTTTAGTCCCATTTCTGTTTCCACAATAGATATCCGTGTTTGAAGAGATTTGAGCTGATTTTCCAGAGCACAACAGCCGCCGCAGACGCTTCTCCGTCTCTTTCGTCCCGACATGACTAAAGTTGATAAATTCCACAAAGCTGAAGTGTGTAGAAGGAGTAATCCTCGTTTTGTAAATAAAATGATTAAAGGAGAAACAAAAAATGTAAATAAAATGATTCAAGGAGATTAAAAGGCGAAGCAAAAGCAGAGCAGAGAGACACGACTGCTCTCTCGAGAAGCAGGAAGTAATGATAGTAATGATAGTGCAGATAACCACTGGTTCTACGTCATGGTGCTACGTCCCTTAGGACTTCGCTAGTGGAATATCACTCGTGACCCCCAGGTCACACGCCGGAGAGATCAAAATAATTTGCTCCAATCACCAGCCACCGTCCTCTATAAATGCCCCTGCACAAGGCCGCACCCCCTCTTTCACTCTGGCGCCGATTGAGATCTACCACAGTACTTACTTCCAGAGAAAAGATGTCTTCTGATGCTTGTCCGAGTTCCCCTTCGCCCTCCGGCGTCGGACGTCGTCGTTGCTCGACGTGTCGAGTCAGGCTTCAGCGCACGGACCAGCAATCCAGCTGCTTCATGTGCCTGGGCCCGGGCCATGCGGCGTTGAGCGCCACCTGCACCTCGTGTCTCGCTCTCCCCAGGGAGGAGAGCGAACTGCAGCGCCCCGTCCGGACTCCTCTCAGGACGAGGAGTCTGAGACTGACTGGGCCCCACTCGACCTTCCACCCATGCCCGCGGAGTGGGGTGACTGTGAGGACGGAGAGGTTTCGGAGGTCGGCTCTCTCCTCACGCTGGACGAGGTGGTGTCGATCCCGGAGCCGGACCGCTTCCCACTGGACCACATGCCTGGGCTCTACTCCTCTGCGGCGGCCATCATGGATGCCCCCCTGCCACCGCAGCCGACCCAGAGGGTGGAGGACTTCACCTCTGGTTACGCCACCACTCGAGGGAGGAGGAGGACACAGCCCACGTTGTGCCCGCGGATGGACCCGATCGTCCATTACGCAACACGTGAGTGGCCAAAGCCCCTAGCGGCCAAGAGGCCCGCTTTGGGCTACGGCATGTACTGCAGCGTGCAGGACTGGTCCTGGACCGGCGGGGTCCCGGACATTGAGGATTCGGTCCGCATGGCCCTGCACCCCTCCGCATCCGTGTGGCCCGGCACCAGACCTCTCCTTCCCTCCCAGCGGGACAGGACGTCTTTGGCTATGCTGGACAGATGTTACGCCAATGCGGCACAGGTCGTCGCTGTGGCGAATAACATGGCCTTCATCACGGGGGCCCTTAACCTTGCCTGCAAGCTGAATTCTCGCGGTATTTGTGAGTTCACAAACACTCGAGAATACATCTTGTACCGCTCCCGCTTACACTTTTCGAGTCGAACCACTGGGTGTGCGAGCCAATCACGCGCCAGTCTGGGGGTTTAGGGCGGGATATCCGGGTTTGACGAAAGCAAGAAGTGCCGGGCTGAAGCAAAACAAACATGGCTACGCAGGAGGACGGACGCAAAGTCAGTTTTAGCAGAATCTCCAATTTCTTTTTTGAAAGATGAACAGCGAGAGGCGCTTTGTACATTTCTGGACGGCAACCTTGGTAGGCGGGCACACAGCGTCACTTCGCCCAATCAGCTTCAAGTATTCTGCTGCTTACCCCTCCTTTCCCCGAAAGGATTCTCCGGGAGAAATCCCAGATTGATATCGCGGAGAACGCGTTAGAGTTCTACACAATCATCAATCTGGCTTTTGCCAGGTTAGGGGGCCCTGGATAGGTCGCTCTCCTCTGGCCAGGCGCTCAGTGGAGACACCTTATCACAGGCGAGGACCACTTCAGCGGCGATCCTGCGCATGTGCCAGGCGCTAGCTGTCGATGGCGGCCGCTCCATGGCAGCAGCTCAAGAGGGGGCCAGGCACCTTTGGCTTGGGCTTGCTAACATCAGAGAGGCGGAGAAGAGGCAGCTGCTGGACCTGCCTGTTTCCCAGACGTCCCTCTTTGGTCCGGATATGCAGACCCTGGTGGCTAGACTGGAGACCGCAGCCAAGGACTCGGCTAGCCTAGCCCAGCACCTAGCGCCCAGGCGCGAGGTCCGCCCACCAGCACTGAGCCGGGACAGAGGCAGGGAGCGTTCGCCCGGGAGGCGCCCTGACCCATATCCACGCTCCGTGGCCCATCGTCCCCCCTCGACGAGGCCCCCGGGTCCAGACAGACCCACGGGAGGCTCGCGGGACCAACGCACCCACCGCCGACCTCCCAATGGCAGAGGAGGTCGGGGTGGGAAGAATTCTTTCAATAAAGGCCGACCGGCATTTCATCATTACTCGCTGTCTGAGTCTCATTTGGGGGTATGTAACATGTCAAATAATCTTGTGAATTCTGATTGTGTTACTTCTCGAGCACATAACGTTGCTTCGCTAGGCCTGCAGCCCCCAGAGCAGGGTTTGCAGTGCGCTACGCGAGCTACGAGCTCCGGTTCACTGGTTCATGCTGTGCCCTCCCAGAGAGAGGTCAGGCGGAGGGATCTGGTGAGTAGTGGTGTGTGTGCTTCGGCCGAACGCGT